TCCACCGTGTATTTCTGGAAGCAATTGATGGTCGACAGATGTAGGGGTCCCCGAATCTGGTTATCAGACCGAACGAAATTCCAGACCCAGTTGAAGCTGCCGAGAAGATCAGGTACGGTTCCTCTCTCTCGCATTGTCTGTCGACTGGCGCGGTTGGCTAGCGGATGCTTGTAGCACCGAATATGTTGTGATGGCTGGAGCACGAGGTGTACCAAAGGGGGAGCGCCGAGGACGTCGCTCAAAAGAAGAGAGGGCAGTGTAATGCTTTGTTTATGCGGCTATCTGACGTTTGGCGAGCACTTTAGGACTTGTCTGGGCCCTGTACACGTGGGCTGGCCTTCGGGCCACGCTCAGGCCCCATTTCTTCTATTGTTCTTGGAATACATATATTCAACCTCATTTATGCCTTCTACTACCCCATTTGGAGCCTCGGGACGCTACAATAGTACTATCAAAAGTTGAAGCAAGTGATCAAGTCTTGGAAGGTCTGATAATGCTAAGATTGATTCCCTCGGAGGCAATCCCTGCGTACAGCTTGTAATTTCTTTCAATCTCAAGCACGATTTAGTGTAATTATGTGTTTTCTTCATCGATTAAAAGGTCTCCGAATTGTGCGAGCAGTTCTAATCCTTCTTTATTTGTAACAGACATGGACAATGTCCCAGATTTCCTTCTCTTGCACTATGTCCGCGCTCACATTAAACACACTGAAGGATACGACACTGCTAAGGAAGGGAAGTTACGCATGCGTCTCAGCCTGTCATGTAAAATTAACACATAAAAATAGGGAAAGTCATTAAATTTAAATAAAAACAATGCATTCGTTGTTGGCACTTGTTTGAAGATAACAATGGCAAAAACATGGACTAGCTCAAAAAGCGAAACTATGTGATCCGAGAAAAATATATTAGTGATTAAAAAGTTGTTTATGAGGCTCTATTGTTAGAATAAATTTTGCTCATGCCTCGTGATCGTTTGTTTTCAACCGTCTCCACTCCTTTGCGGCTGACAAAGCGGTCGATTGGGTCAATGCCTTTCGCCAGGTCGGCGAAGCACGTTCTTGAGTTGCTGGAATACGTATCTTCTGGCGCTGAAAGCTTTCAAAAATCCGTTCAAGTTATAAGTTTTAGTGATGATCCTTTCGATCACAATACTTACCTTCTGGAAATTACACCCGCGCTGGCGGAACAACTGGTCTGTCCAAATGATTTCACCGCGAATATCAAGTCAGAAGGGTGCAAGGGTGGTGATAGTGCCGCTTTTCTATGCAATGGTGCGACCACCCAACGTTTGCTGGAGGTAGAGACCTCGAATTCCTTGCTTTTGGTGCCTGATTTAAAAATACCGGAAAGTCCATTGGATAAATTTTGGTCTGTGGATGAGCCGAGAATCACTGAACGCACCATAGCTTCAATTAAATCTGTGTACCTGGAGCTTGTACCCATCCGAGCGCCGAGTCTCCGTAAACTGAAGCAACTTCTTCTTCCCTCGAGCTTTTCCAGTCATATTGAAGAAGATTATGCTAAAGATGGCGCGTCTGATAAATTCTTCACATTTGAGGAATTGGGTTTATCGGTTCCATGTAGCGAAACCGAGTTGCTGTATGCTATGGATAGGCTTAACATATTCCTCTGGGAAGGGTGCTGTCGCTTATTTCAGCTGGATTACATTAGTCGCGTTAGTTCTTCCTGATTGTTTGCCGGCTTAACTATTTACTTTTTTTTACAGTGCCACTGTGTCTTGGCCTTACAGGTTATCCAGGCAATTTTTGACATGGCTGATGAAATATCACTGGACTGGTCACAAACGGGTTTCGCTGATCCCCAAGACATGATAGTTCGGCTTGAAGGCCTCTACCCTCCATCCGTTCTCCATCAGATATTTCAACGGTTTTTCTATCGCAAGAGGTGCGCACAATTTAAAGCAATTTTTCCACGAAATGGGAAAATTTGTCGTCTCATTGGAGAGAATCTATTGTCGATCACAAGGAAGTTCGCCTTCAGCGACTTTATATCGGTTTGGTGTGCCACAGTACCCCATGGTATGCAGCCACGTTTAAACCGGCATCTCGCTTGCGCTGGTCGCGCTTATTGTGATGTCTCCTCTCTCACTCAACAGAGAAGCATCACTTTTCTTCCAAGTGAAGATCTTCCTGATCACTCAGTGGAAGCGCGCCTGGCGGCACTTTTTGCTCGCCAACCTCTGTGGCCTGAATCTCAACTTGCTGGCTACATCGCTGATCTGGTTGTTGATGCTTCCGATAACGAACTTCGTTTCGTTTATCCTAATTTAATATCCGAGAAGGAACTTCTCTTCCTCTCGGATTCGGAAGATGAAGATGAGATGGCGCTATCAGATGAGTTAGAGGATCCGGAAAAACTTGCTCTTGATGACCCTCTTCCTGTTCCTGCTGTCTTGGGTGCCCTACTCAATCAGCACTGTCGTATAAGCATTTCCGCCGACGGTGGACGATGCTACACCGAAAAATACCCTCGACGATAATTATGTATTTTGTACACTGCGAATAAAATGTGCGTGTTCTCCTTGTTTGTAAATGACCACGAGTACCATGTGCGTGTTCGCAGATTTATTGTAGCTTCTTTTACAGCATGTCGTCGCTAACGCATTTGTGCTGCTTGAAGCTAGCTGAGCACTATCGCAATATCTCGGATCTGCGTCACGTTCCCCATCACTTAGGGAGGGAGATCTCGAGGGCCATTTTACTAAAAAACAATCGCTTCACAATCTTCACACTAACATCCTACATTACGCTTTTTTCGGAGGCCTATGGGGCTGATTTTCTCTCCACTTTTCGCCTAACTCCTTCTCCATTTCTCACGGTGTGGATAACAGGGTTGCTGAGCAGCTGTAGCCTCACCTCACTCTGTCTCGATGGTTGCCAAATGGGTACGCAGCACTCGTTTGTACTGCCTCTGCTTGGTTCCGCCTGTCCGACGCTTCAGTTTCTGTCGCTTCGCTACAATCACCTCAGCAATGACGCCGTTCGTTCACTAACCGCAAATGGTCGGTACTATAAGTCATCCAATATTACCACAATAGATGTCTCGGGAAACCCCTTTCTCAGCTACAGGTCCATAGCTCTCCTAATTGCTTTAGGCTCCACTCAGCTGATTTATCTGAGCGATACTGGTGCATCGGTGAGTCCAGCCTTGCTGAGAACAAATTGGACTTATTGATAAAGTTTGTGCTAACATTAGAACATGGCAAAATGGTGAATGTGCTCGTTTATATTTCCTTTGTTTTTTACTACCGTGTTATGCTAATTTGTATGGCCATAACTCCTCGCCATGATGTGTATGTCAGTGTCAAATTCTTACTGATCCAAGCGCTTGCTTGAATGTTTCCTATTCCCTTATTAATGCTGTCAACGCGTTTAGATATCACAATTTTCTCTACCTAACGGATGGAAGTGTCACCGAACTCTAGAACTTGCAACATCTCGGCCTCCAACTCTACGGGGTTGGTTGTGGGAGGATTACGGAGTGCACAATTTCTCAGAAGATTCCTATTCTACCCGGTTCTACGAATCGCCATTAGTAATCCTTCGTACCAGATAAAACTTCTTTGGTGTGGGATTCGCCCGCTCTTCGTCTTCACCTTTTTATGTTCTTCATTTTGGTCTCAGATGAATATACACAAATTCTTTAGACTAGCTTTATTCAGTCCATTCACTTGCGTTTAAGTTATCGCAAATGGACTTAATGAGGCGTATTCCTCCTTTCACAAGTATCATTTACCAATTGATCCCATCGGTCGTTTCCCGAAGTAACTGAGCGCTTTTTTGCAAAGAGGTAATTTCTGCATCATCCAGCGGGATATTGACCACGCTCGCAACGCCCGTAGCGCCCACGACGCAAGGGAGGCTGAGGAATGCATCATCTGTTATTCCGTAAAGACCCTGAAGTGGATTGAAGTAGATAGGCGTGTTGACTTAATCATTGCATGAACTTTGTCACCCCAACAGAGCTAGTGTTGAAGGTGATGCATGGAAAATTTGTGAATATTTCCGTTCTCTGGTGATTTCAACGTTAGGTTTTAGGCCTTCATCTAGATGGTGGTTTTTTTTTAGGCACACGATTGCGCAAGTTCTATCGCCTTAGCGATTTCTTTGACTATCTTGAGAAGGCTTATGTATTGTGGTATCATGAGTAAATTAGAGAGCTAATAATTTCTCACCTTGACTGCAGTCGTAACAGGGATTACCGCATTCTTGTTATTCAATATAAGATCTACTATCTTCCAGGTTGAAACTCCAATTGCCCACGCAGTATAGCCCTTACGGTTGATTATTTCGTAGGCTCTGTAGATAATTTGTTTCAAGGAGTGAGTTACTTACGCTCCCACAGTGTCTTTGTGAACTTGCCCGAAATTCTCAGTATCACTGTCTGTTCCAATAGCAGGATTTATAGAGGATAAGTTGCAGCCTCCAACGGTTACCTTACTCCAGACAGCGACTGATGAGTCCCCGTGCTCACCAATTATAATTCCATGCACGGACTGAGGATCTACACCAAATCTCTGAGCGAGGAAGAATCTAAATCTTGCGGAATCCAGAGTAGTCCCACTCCCGAGTACACGGTTACGAGGAAATCCACTTAGCTTCCAGGTGACGTAGGTCATAATGTCGACGGGGTTGGACACAACGAGCAGCACTGCGTCAGGACTGTGTTTCACTAGACTTGGGATGAGATCTTAAATACGTCGAACGTAGATTGTGAATTAATAAGTATAAGCGACTCCGTTGGCATTTAATTTTGTGAGTGGTGTCAAAATTTATTTCTCCGACATACCTTTATATATATCAGTGTTCCGTTGAACTAAATTTAAGCGAGATTCTCCGGGTTGCTGTCGAACACCAGCAGTGATAACAATTATGTCAGATCCAGCTGAAAGGGCGTGATCTACGGCCAAAAGATAGGTTTTTATGGTAGATCTCACCGCTGCCCCCTTGTATTCTGCAGTTGTTAAGAAACTGTTGACCTTGTTCAAGGTCCATTACTTCGCCTTTTACTTTTTCGGCTGCAACATCAATAAGACATAATTCATTGACACACTCCTAAAGAATAACAATGAAATGGGTAGTGCCTTCATCATTATGGCGAATGCGCATGCCATGCCAACAGAGCCACCACCGACAACTGTCACCTTAGCTCTTGGTCTTACACAATAGCAATTGGGTGTTACGGGGTGAAGGACTGATGAAAGCATACCAGTAGTTGTCTAAAGGATTGAATAGTATTTTTGTTCGTACAAGTGGCATTATATTCAGGGTCTTAGGCACTCCTCTGGCGTTCAAAGTGTGGCGGGACCCTCCGTTTCCTACAGTCGCGAGTCATGTGGCAAACTAAAACAATTTTAGGTCAGGGGAATAAAGAATGAGAACTATGTCTTGGTTTTCGTGAACTAGCCGATTTGAGGTGAATCCACTTGGCAGACTTAAGATTACTATCCTTAACTTTATTTCATGGTAGACTTTATAAAATCGTATTTTATTAATGTTCCCTATGATCATTGATTATTAGAGGAGAGAGACGGTGACAATGTGATAAAACTTGGTACGGTTTTATTTAAGCATGACAAATACATATTTGTGTACAACGCTTAGGGTAAAGTTAATCGACAATTTTAAAAAATATCTGTAGCATTACCACTGACTTTAATATATTCTTGAATTCGTCGTCTTCCATAATTAGTTTATATGTCTATAGTTTTCGTGTAAGTTTTAACACTCTTTGTACGTACGAGAATAGGAAGGCGTGGAAGATCGTGGACGCATGCACAATCTTGTGCCTTCAGCCAAAGATGCACCCTACGAGGGTGGAAGGAACCATGCAATGCTATGCGCTAAAACCACAGGCAACTAAGTAACTATGGTTTAGAGGTGACCCAGGAAACAAATTGATGCGGCTTTCGAAGCCGTCGCTAAAGTCATAATTATCCAGATTTTAATGGATAACTTTACCCACACTTAACGGCACACATTCTTAGCTGTCCCTAAGTTGTGCCCTAGCTATAGCGAACGCCTTCTAGGTCAGGCAAGTGAACATCAAAGCCTATGCTAGGCTAGTAATATATTTTGACATGAAATTAAGACGCATCACAAACTCTGGTTTGTAGGGCTTAGAGGTACAGTAGCATAATGACGAAAGGCAATGGCTCAAAGTTCAGATTTCTCATAAATCTGAAATCTACTCAGAGTGCATTATAGGCAAGTAACACCTCAAGATATGCCGGATATTGGAATGTACTTCTCCCTTTTGTACAAGGGTACTTGCCCCCACTTATTTTAACAAGTTTTCGTGCTTGTTTCAATTTGTATACCTTTCAATCAACTTTCTGTTACTGTATCTGCCATTTACCAGCGTTGGAACAGTCAATACCTTCTGAACTTTTTTATGCTTAAATCTGCCTTGAATAATCCCGTTGCTTTGAATTCCCCAAAAACTGGTTGCTTGAATGTACATCGTAACTTTCGCGTCCTTTTCTGTGTAGAAACATTTAGAGACGTAAAATCGACCAAAAGTCAGAAGTTCCAAAATGGTGGTTCCTAACTATCTGCAAGAGACCTAAAAACCCATTATACAGTGTTGGGCATCGTAATCCGAACAAGGAGAATGGTCCAATCCTTAGCATGTAACTGTTCGATAAATCTTGGATAGCCAATGTCTTTACATCCCAGTTTTACAAGACCGATAGAAGATTATCAGAGTGCTGTTTGTCTTATGTCGAGAAACTTTCATTACCTAAGTTCTGTCATATTGATTCTTAAGGGGATAGTTTCTGAAGCCCACTATGAGCATAATTCCTAGTAGCCCTTAGCTCCAGCATTAACTCGTGATTTAGTCGTAAGAAGTTTCATTTGAAATTAGTATTTCGAATACATCGGTATACACGTCAACAATGCAATCAAACGTGGACGCAGTAGCAGTTCCACTAAAAAAGGTGGAGTAGTGCTAGCCTATCATAGAATACCCCGATCAATGGAGTCCTGCAGATCGTGAGCTATTTCCACAGCCAATTCAGCGTAGGGTGGTTGATTGGAGAGGAGTGCAGTGAGGAAATTTTCGTCCACGAAAAACATCACCACATCGACCAACCTGTTGACGGCCTTTTTAGAGAGATGCTCCTCCGAGATGAAACGTGCAAATGCGCCGGCGGTCTTGATGGCCGCCTGGATTCTCTCGAGGTCAGAACCTCCGGATCGAGGTCGGGTGACCTCTTTAACGTGACGAATGAAGCAGACTGCTGCTTGGCGCATCACCTCACGACACTCTCCCAAGTCCTCCTCCTGTTGCTGTCGCAGCAATCCGCTAGATGCAACAACATAAAGTTTGATGTTGACCTTAAGTAACTGTTTCATAATGAAGTCAGCTCTCTCCTTGGAGCGGGTGTAGAGCCAAACAAGTTTGTGAATTGTGTCTACCAAGTGGCTCGTAGTCTCGTCGAGAAAAAAGCGTTTCGTTTGGTTAGGAAAGCTGCATGCGATGCTATGCTGCGCCCTGAGGGTGATGCCACGAGAGTCGAAGGCTCCGCGCCCCTTCGTGCTTCCTCTAAAGCTCGACATGTCGTTTGAGACGAGCTAACTTAACTACTCTAGTGTCAGCGAAGACCCTCGTTTGCCCATTGGCCGCATTTCAGTGGCCAATCAACGGAAGGTCTTTATAATTACCACCTTCACAAGCAGTTTTTTATTACAACAAAAGTAGAGAAATCCTTTTCAGTTCATTAAGCACATACCTCAACTGTTACTGAGTGGGGAATTTTAATCGAAGAGGGCGTCAAAACTTATGCTATTGTTAAAGATGCGTTTTTTTGTTTAGTACAGCTGTTTTATTCTGTATGATAGAAGTTCAATGGGTTTTTTGAAATGTAAGATGATGCAGGTGGGTCGGAGTCACGAGGTTTTAGAGCACTTTTGTCGGCTGTCGTCATTGCACACCGTTCGTTCAAAATCTACCACGTCAAGTTAAAAGTCAAGTGAGTATTTTTTGCATTAAGACAACAAATTTAATGATTTTAATAACTTCTTCCTCGGTGAAATTTCTGTCCAACTACTGTTAGGCCTATTTTATCGAAAATAGCAATATTTTTCAGGACAAGATATTCATCTTTGGTGGGTTTAATGGGAAGCGTTTGTGAGGGAGGAGTGGTCCACTCCCTCCTCTGTCACGAAGTCGCATTATTACAGCCTTGACGACAGTAATTGGTTTAGCTTTCAGGTAACCAAGGGAAACAGTTTATTCCTGAGATGGGAAGTGGGTTTCCGGCTGGTCACTCAGATTTAGAGCTGGAATCTTATTAGAGTTGCTCAGAACGACTCTATTGCCCGAGTCTCAAGGCATTCACGTCCCGGTGCTTTATACTTCTCTTAGCTTTCCAACAAAGCTTTACCTCAGCGTCTTATCTCACCTATCAACACCGCCACCACTTATGCATGTAAGCATGTGTGCCGTCGGTTTACATTACTAAAGGAAATTTATGATGGACAATGGCAGCTAGTAAATGCCTTGTAATAGCTTTACTCTCTGCGCCATTTTTGGTTTGTGTATGTTTGAACCGTGAAATGATATCTTAGCCGCCTCAACTTACAAATAATAAATTTTGCAGCAATTCACCGCTTGATCGTACATTATTTTGCAGTAACTCTTGGTTCTGACATTTGTGCCAATTCCCTTGTGTCAAAAGTCTGTCCCGTGCCAGTCACCTCTTTGATCAACACGTTGGTTTCCTTTTCCTTCAGGCAAACCTTGGAACGCTGCAGTGATGGCACTAGAAAGCAGCAGACCTAATCCCATAAAACACTGATTCAAGTTTATGCTAGGGGACGATAAACCCTGGCGTGAGAGAGGTGCGCATATTCCGCAGAAGGGGAAGTCTGTGACTGTGTAAAGTAGTTACCGAAATGAAATAAAAGCGATGCTAGATTTAACGGCTACCCATTTCAGTCACATGGTCTGCAAGGAAGCCACTAAAGATTAAGCGACACCTCCGAATACAATTCCAGTGCAAGGCGAAACACCACATTTAGTAGGATATGTGGTGTTGAGGTCAAGTATTGCTTCACTTTTGCGCCAACTCCATAAATAACGCTAGTTAATTGGTGGGGAGTGAAGTGAGGGCTGATCACAGGACGGAAAGAGGCCTGTCAGGCGCTGTTTGGCTGCCTATAACTTGCTTTTGGACGGTTGAATGTATCCTCAACCCCATTCTAGTTCGATACTATCGACAGCATTAAAGTGATCATCCAAGCCTAGTAAATCGGACAAAAAATGTCAGCATTTCGAATGTAAAAGCTGTTTTTCTACGGCATTACCGCCACTGCGACCCTCTATCAATGCAACTTGAAGCAGATTAGACACAGAAATCATAAGGTACCATTAAGTGGGCTGCTTTTCCAGGCACCTGTAATTAAAACTGTCGGGAGGGCTGCAAGACGGCGTGCCAAGTTGCCTCAACTGTGTGCTGCTTTTGGGGTTTAAAAGGGAAGTATGAATTTCGTATGTACTTTGAAAAAGTAAAGTCTTCTGGACATACTTTTGGCGAAATCGGTGGTGATGATTTGAGTCATTCTGGATTTTTGTAAGACTTGCGAGCAAGGCTATGGAGGGCGGTGATAGCGGACTGTTGTACGCCCTCGAGACTCCCTAAGGACTAGAAATACTTAAACAGAATAACTGATCACTCAGCGGAGATTTCACCGCGAAACTTTAAGTGCTCAAGCAGCCAAAATGGAAAGTTAAACAAACAATCAGGGTTGTTTATTGCCCTTATAATTAAGCGGACTTTTGTTTGAATGCATTGGTCTCCTCGTCCTATGTTTGTTAACTCTGACTTGAGACATACAATTTGGCAGAGTTTATCAAATGTCCTCTTTGCAGGTTTGTGTAAAAATGGTCGTTTTCAAAAAATCTCGTGATTACTTGCTGATCTTGACGCATTTAGTCTTAAGTGTCGAAACGAGTTTGTTGTTGGTCGAATTGGTGGCGATCAACTGCTGCCTTGCCGACTCCCAAAGTCTGCATGCTCTGCAGACGCTAACGACGCTAACCTCTTCAGCTAGCTTTTTTGGGTCAGGCACGGCTACCAGTGTCCACATTCAAAGAAGTGGATCCATCACTTCCGATTTTCACACGGTTCGGTGTAAACAAACGCACTCCCAACAACTGAAAGCGTGCAAGGCGACAGTGTGCCTATTTCGGTTCTCCACAATGGACAGTGTTTTGACTTCCAGCGCCTCAATTTGCTCAATCATTGTGTCGTATAGCTCGGTAAAAGTGTTTTGTGTCTACACCACAGAACGAGTCGCTTAACTCTCTCTTTACTGATGTCGACTGCAATAGACACGCATTGCTTATCCATTCACGGGTGACTGGCTTAATCAAGTCATGCCACTGACAGGTAAGTTCTTCCGGACCATCAACAAGGGCGTGGTAGTCTCATGCCTTGAGGGCAATTACACTGCCATCATTGTTTTGTGCAGAATTTAAAAGTTGTTGGAAATGGCAATGATGGGGCACTATATGAGTAAAAATAACACCTAAACGTTTATTTCCCATTGCAAAAGTGATAGGAATTTGCCACACAAAGTGAGCTTTTGGCTGTCGTTTTGTTCTACATCCAATGGCATTTCAAGGGGTTCAGCTGTACCGTTTTCACTAACCTGTGAGATCTGTAGGGGCGACACACGTGCATTGTTCGGAGTTGACCTTTCTTCACTATTTTAAAATGTCTCTTAACTCTCACCTTGTAAAATTGGAGGAAATAAGTGGCTCATGTGGAGGCAAATATGACGAGTGGGTGGGTGCTTGTCATTCCACATTAACAAAACGTCTTACTCTGACACCTTCCACTTGGCGCGTTAGTGTCAGGAATCGGAGGCGTTCTCAAAGAAAGCGACGAACCGCTTGCTGAGAAGGGCAGTGGCCATGCGAACTCGAATTTTCAGACACTTTCCTCAATCAGGACGCATTCAGTGGTGATGTCGTAGCCATGTGACAACCAGCCGCCAACTTTTATGTCAACATTCAAATGTTAAGCCTTTAGACAATTTACTCGAGTAAAGTAGTGACAAATACACGAGACGTGATGCACTTGTGATGTCGCAGATCAACCAATCAGATCATTTCGTACGATACTTTTTGCAGAGTAAATTAAGAATTGAGTTCCCTTCTTCTATGAAAATGGACTGGTGACAACGCAGTACGACTCCTACGTGGTCTTTGTGCTCACGTATGTCCAGCATCTTTTGTTAAAACAATATGCTGGCACATTTATTTTCTGAGACGACACTTTGTTGGGTTGCATGAGACATCTCAAAGTTTTTTTTGAGCCTTGCAAAGAATTGTTAAAGATAATGGCTCTGGCCATCCTGCACTTAACAAAAGAAGTGTCTAAAAGGGATAAAAATGCTGTCATTGTCGGCTAACAGACACTGAAGCAGGCCTGGCACACACCTTTATTCCCAAGAAGAAATGTCAAAGAGACATCGCAGGCACCTATGCGGGGTGTCTTAATTTTGGCTGACACTATGGTGAGAAGCACCTCCGTTTGCTCTTTGCTGTCTCAAACGTCTTCATTTGACCCCACTTGCGGTGAGTAGAAGGTGGACGACACTGAGCAATGGAATTGGCGGCGATTTCGAATTCAACTGACATTCAGTCAAACGCAGACATCTTACACCTTCTACATCCAACACTTGAGGAGGCTGTTTGCTTAATTTTGAAACACGTCTTTCAATTGCCACTTCAGCAACCAGTTTATGGGCAGTCTTATGCTCATAAAAAAAGATTGTCACAAGTTTAGGCAAATGTCGAGTTGATTTTGTTTAGATTTCGGTGAATGATGAAAATGGTGGTCTCACTTGTACCTCCTACGATTTCTCAACGATAAGTGCATCAAAGAATCTGTGCTTACGTTCACTCTGTTTAGCCGTTGTAGCAGTTGGGTCATAATCCCCGCCTTTTAACATTTTCAGAGTCTTAAGAAGGTGCAGATCGCAGTTTAATGGTTTTTCTAAGGCAACTGCACTGTTGTTTTGCACAAATAAGTGAGTTGACTGGATCACCTCCACCGCGGTTGCAATGCCCGCACTGATTAAGTGACTTGAGAGTTTAAAATAAAAGCAATTGAATTGTCACAACTTGACGCGTACCAACTGCTCTTCTTTCAAATAACTGACTCAGTCAGTCGGCATTAGACAAGAGTTTTGAAGTTTTTTTCCTCTTCTAAAAGAGCATTGTGATTGTGCCATGACTTGGAGCATCGACACTTAAGTACATGGTGAAGTTGATTAATCACTCCACTGTTTGGCTCTTTCTCCTTCTCTCTCTCTCTCTCTCCTACAAGGAATGAGAATGGCCTCTGCCTTCTTGTCATATAGCATGGGAGTGATGAGTGCCCTTTGTGTAGCGGTATTTTAAGGCCCCACCGACGGGAGGTGCATCATTCGAATGGATCAGAGAGCTAACGCATACTTCGACACGTCTTTCTATCTCAACAACGCTCCTTCTCGTTCCTGATTTTTTTTAGTAAAATAAATATTTTATGATGGCCTTATTCTAGCAGCTCAGTACAAAAAGTAACTCTCTTGCCTTGCACAGTTGGGCTGTTCGAAGGGCCACTTCAATGCTTTGGTGTCGGCCAAATCAAAGTATTTTTTCCATGTTTACTAAACAGTTATTTTATGGCCGATTTCAGAGACGTCAGAGCGAATCCATTTACCACAGCCACTTTTATCGTTTTTTTTTTCTACCATGTCAGCAGCTGTCACCAGCTTCTTTGATCAATCAAGCTGCCACTCAAAACTCGCTGAGTGTGCATTTACCCGCATGCCTAAAACACTTTGCTTTCATTTTATTGTTTAAAATACAAGCTGTCACGAAGAGATGCACTCATTTGCCGCAGCCTGATGGGCATCGCGCAACGACTCATGCAGGATGCTGGCAGAGAATGGAGTAAAGTCATGCTCCTCCCTTGCATTCCCATTCTAAGTCGAAGTACTTAAAGTAAACGACAAAGACAGGCTTCGAAATTCCTGATTCAGATTCGATGAAGATGAATATTTGGGTTAAACAAACAACTCAGTAGACAACACCATTTTGTCCAGAGGTCTGAGCTGCCAACTGCACTTGGCACTGATGGTTTAGACGTGCCCAGTGGCACTCAGGTGGCGATGGACCTCGAATTTGCAGACTCGTTAGAGAGTTGTGCAAGCATTTAATGACCACGATGGGTGTTGTCACCATCAGCCACCACTTTGATCCAGCAATTTATCCAAGATACCTAAATCGCAATCGTCACCTTCTTCCTCAGCCTAATTTAAGGCTACCCAAGCACTTCAATGATTAAGCGGATTTCAGCCACGTTTAGATTTGTGTCTTAAAAAATGCATTAAAAGCAAAAAAAGCGTAGCAAGGATCAACATCCTACATTAACATCCCGGAAAGCTAACTTCTGGAGTTCGATTTCTTTCATACCATTCGACATTTTTGTTGTTATTTATGCAATGGAAGAGTTGGGGCATGAAAGTCGCATATTTTGCACTTTGCGCAAAGAAAGTGCCGAGCTCTGCTATCAGCAGCACGGCGTCGACGCATCTTCACAATCGATGGGACAACTCTCGTCGGTGGTACTCATCGCACTCGCGCTGGGGAGATCAAAGGCTCTCCACATTCCTCCAATGGCGAGCCACGGGACCGCGTAAGCCGCTAGCGCCGTTAAAGAGGGCACTGATAAAAGTTCAAAAAAAGGCAAGATAAGGCTTTGTTTTTCGCTTTACTTTGACCCTTCTCTCTCTCTCTCTCGTGGCGCTCTTCCAAGGTGCCAAAATTCTTCAAAGTATTCCTCTTAACTGTTTTTTTTATTTTATAATAAAGTATTGTTCAGTGCAATATGTACAGGGACAATTAAAGGGACTTATTTTAGGTCTGTGAAGCTCTCAGCCCAAAACATTCACCCTGTCCGTAAACGAATCATCACAAATCCATGGGGGTTGAAACTCTATGTTGGTATCTTCCAGGGATGGAAGTTTTATTTGCGGCTTTCAAAGCAATGCCAATTAGATGGAGCTCAAACCGTTTTTGGGCTAATGCCAGAATCAGGTATTTGGCGTTTGTGATTCCACAGTCCAAAAACTGTCCTAAGAAAAAGTACCAAAAAAATCTCAGTCATCATAACAGCGTGAATTCTCTCGGTTATAAATGGTAATGTGTCATTTAAGAAGTCTCTAAGTGAACTTTTAACAGAGTTTGAATTGCTTGGGTTCAACTAATAAATGAATTTGCGAGTATGTAAAAATTCCCCCATCAAACATGTGGAGACATAAGCATAACCTCCGGTAGACATATCGCTCATTTTTTATTTCTTTGATCTCATTCACGGAGTCGTCATGATGAGTATGTGTAGTAAATGTAGCACAGCAATTGTCTGATTAAAGATCTTTTTCATGGGTTCGTAACCCCTAGGCCCTCCGCTGCACAGCCTACTGATCAACTGGACAACTATTTGAATTAAAGGTAAAGATCTTATCAGCTAGAAACTTTATGTCTGTACACCTATCCCTCCACATTTTATGTGCGCTCTAGCGAGTGTACAATAAGTCTGACTATCCGATTCAAAACGCCTTTTTTAACGATAAACAAGGCGTATTTTAACGCAGGTTTTGTCGTTAAGATCGTGGACCTACTAATTTAACTAGTCAGTAGTATACACTACGCCTTAGGTCATTTCATCACATCGCCATAGCACAACTCCAATCTCTTCATCCCATTTGACGTCAGTGTCGCGGTAACAGCCAACTTTTTGTAAGCACTTTGCGGATTTAAGGTCCAACTGGTGATTATGCCCCTAGTCCGTCCTAGTGACGCAATTGTTATAAAATTCGCATTATCCTACTTATTTCTGTATCCCACAATTTTATGGAGGATAATTACAGCTTCTAAGACATTTATGGGTTTCGCAAAGAGTTTGCAACGACTGTGTGACGGACGAGCTCACCCATCTCTTTCCAACAGCTCACACCTACTTACCTCCTGCTTTTGTTACAATCCAGAAATCAAATCAAATCGACTCCGCCTCTTACTCCTAACACGGAGTTTTAATTTCACGCTTAGGCTGCGTAAATGTGCTATTACGCAATTCTTAAAACCCGCTTCGGCGAAGGCCATATCATATACATTTGCAGCGATTGAGAGCGAAAATGATGGAGAGGTAGTCTAAACAACGCATGCCGAAAGTTCTGACGCATGCGTAAATCCTGCCACAGTACTACTGTTCAAGCTGAAAAGATGGCAATGGCGGTGACGTTGTTCTTTACAACTCAGGCACTCCTGCATCGCGGCATTGACGCAGATCACTACTACTCAACCGTCAATAGTGATTAGTTACGACTTTGCGCTTTTCAGTGTGAAACAGTGTCAGTGCTATCGTGCATGTCAACATTACCCAGTGCTTCAACCATCACCTCACGAAGGGATTTGCTTTGGTGAAAGTCGGGAAGTTTATGACGCATCGTTCAAATAGTCACTTCAACATGATGAATAGCTTTTATGTGAAAGTAGTTTTGAGATAATTTATTGAGAAAGCAGAACAGTTCTGAGGTGGCCCCATTCCGTATGATGCACCAGACGCTCTGTGCCAATCTCTCCTCTTTGCATCGAGCTAATCTGTTCACGCCAGTGGATCCGATCCGCTCACCTAGGAAAGAAGGGAAACCAGCAAAAGTATAGCCTCTCTACTACTCAGGTCATAATAAACGCTTTTGGAGAGGTTCATTGTCTCTCCTTTGTACAAAGCCTCTAGTCTGGTTTTGTCCAAACTGCAGACCGAATCAGTACCTGAGTCATGTCGAAGTTGAATCTTTATCTGACATAGTCCATCTTTGGAGGTTGTTATTAAGAAAGGGGTGTGGCTAAACCAAGGGAGAATCATCTGCAAGTGCCAAAAAAGCATCTGTCAGCTGCAAAGGCAACGATTGTCGAAGTGTTCTTGACTGATTGCGTGCCTCTGTTGAGCAGTTCATGAGAAGCGTGCGTGAGTGCGTGCGTCACCTGTGAAATGAACGATGGCATGGAGTTGTTTTGTGTGGCTGGAAAAGACATTGTGCAAGGCGAGAAGGCCGTCACGTAGGCGTCATGAAAGCGTTTGGAGTAAGCACTTTTACTACCCTTTAAATGAAGCATTTTGTGGACTGCACAGTTAATCTCTAAATTTGATGCCATTTGTGAAGGTCGTAGTCGTAGGACGTCTAGCACAGCATCATTATTTCTTTAACAGGATACCGACTTTCGTCACTTGTCGTTACCACTTAAAGTTATCCGTGAAATACAATAGAAAGGGTTGATTTGGATGCTAAGAGGCTCTAGCATTCAACTCACCGTTTAAAGCTCGACCACTCTGTTGATTAAATAAAGAATGCATAACATAACTGGTAATTCTAGTCTCAGTTTGCGAAGGTGGAGCGCTGACCTGGACTCCGTTGGAGATTTCCCCACATTGCCTTACATAACGTCTGGGTCATTCATAATCCAAACGATAAAGAAAATATCAGTTTAGCTTTAACAATTGCAATTAAGAGGAAAAGTATTTGGTTAGTCTTATGTGAAAACACGTGGGCGTCTTAGTCTCTGTTTTTCAACCAACAAAGTCAAGCTCCATATTAGGAGGATGTAGTCCAAGCCATTACCACTGTTTTTTGCTCCACCTTCACCAAACTCGTAAATGACATCACCTTTGATCCCAATGGGTTACTCGCATCCATCGGTTCCATTATGCTTTGTCAAAGGAACCCAATACTCAAGGTGTGTTTTCAGTAGTACCCACTTCCCATTCCGCTTTATTCACCCTACTGACTAAATTCTTGCCTACATTTACCATCCATTGTGGCATCACGAATCACTGCCTGTCATTTCGTTTGATGGATCACCCTCTAATCTTGTCGCGTGCTCCAGTGCCACATTTCATTACAATACTATTTTTGTAAGCTTTGCAGTAGCCAATGCCACAGGGGGCAGAGAACAGATTGCAGAATGATTTGTCATGGTCTCGTGGCAAATTTGCAATTGCACTTGCGTCGGGGAGACTGGGTGAGTGTCAAAAAACACTTTGCTAAGCACAGCTTAAGAAAGTGGGTGCTGGTGAATAGAATTGCCACCTGGGTGCAGCACTGATTTCTGTCACCTCCAAAGACCTTTAGGGATCCAATAGTCCCGTATTCTCATCGCAAAATCGACTTCTTGAAATACTTTAAGCGAATGCTTACAACTGACTCAATTTCATTCGCAATACGACTGCTACCAATAAACCCAAAAGAAAAAAGCAGCTCTTATGATTTTGTGATTAGGTAATAAAGAAAATTGTCATTGTAAATATTCCACGCCTTCCTGATGTTTTTTAGGTGTATCAGTGACAGAGTCTAGTTGGATTGTGCAAAATTCTCGTCTAATTATGCTGACGTCGACTAGTCTCGTCTCGCACGCCAATTCGTCGTGGCCATGTCTCGTTGTCTCTTCTGCTACCTCATTAACCCCACACTGTAAGCCTGAGGTACTCAGATCTGTCACTTGTGATCACAGTCTACATAGCCTAGGTACTATTGCAAAGCACTACAGACACTCATTTGCGTTATTACTTTCGAGTCATTTTCGTCTCCTAAAAAGCTTTTAGTACAAATTCTACTCACAATTGAATGGGACTCCGAGTAATGCTAAAACACTGCTTATAAATCCCCTTCGAAACGGTTTTCTCCGTGCCTTGCAGCCAATGGGTCCGCTAAAGTGCAGGTTTGTGCATCCCAAAGGTAAAAAATGCGGTCGAAACTGGGTTGGCTTGCTAATGTGATTGAAGGATCCTGATGACCGCCCTCCCCCACAGGTCACACCAGTACAGCATTAAACCGCGCTGACCAACAGTAAGTAGTGGACATGTTGAGCAGGTTTGATATAAATATACATTTTTATGTCACACAAATGTACACATGCACATGTACGTGAGTGTGCATGCATTTCCAGTAGGATCGCCGTTCTCGCGCATATCAAAATAGACAATGCTGAAAATAACCTCTCAGAAAGTAGGAAACCAAAATACAAACAGGTCTGTGTAAGTAGCAACACATGGCAACTGGACGGAGGTGATGGCAGTACTGAATTTATGCAAAGTATACAAAATTAAGGAGGGCAAAGAAGGACGTTAGTTGAGCATTCAGTAGAGTGGCGGCAATAATAGTGTTGGTGGAGGTGTGTGAAATGCTGATCCTGTCACGCCAGTGACGGGTGAGGTGTATGGGAGTCTTCTCCATATCTGTCTTAGCAGAGGGGAGGAGTGGAAGAGAATGTGGAGGGAGGGATCATACCACGAGACAGCACCGTCGACAACGGAGTTCGTGGAGAGGACGAAGAGGCGGGAGCAGTTGCTCCAGCAGCAGCAGCGGCAGCGGCAGCAACAGCGGAAGCAGTAGACGATACTGCACTGCCATGCAAGGAGCCCTCATGGGTGCGTTTGTGGAGCTGCAGATGATCGCTGCGTGTAAAGCGGCGGTTGCAGGTATCACAGCCAAACGGTTTCTCCCCTGTGTGCTTGCGTTTGTGCCGAGTGAGCTCATCAGATCGGGCAAATTTCCATGTGCACTCAGGGAAGTTACATACATATGGCTTTTCACCTTTATTTATTTGTAAAAGGAAAGAAAATGTAAGCTCACATTTATCCCCTTACCGTCTCAAGTGCAATGATTTGGGGGATTAAAAGTCCTTACCAGTATGAGTTCGAACATGAGCTTTTAGATGGGAGCTCTTAGAATATCGTTTGGGACATCCAGCATAAGGACAGGCGTGGATGTTGACTTGCGGATAGTGGTTTGGGGATTGACGCACTGTGGATACAGTAGATCCAGAAGGCGCATCTGAACTTCGTTGACAACTAGTGTTCTGTAAAGATGATGCTAATCCTGGCGAAGAACCGGATTCTGGTGAAGACCAGTTCAAGGAGGCCCTTTTTCCGCCCCGCTGCGTTCTCTCTGATGAGCCACTCTTTGGGCGATAAGCAGCCTGACACTCCAATAATTGCGGCAATTTAATATCATCCAAACTAACATTGTCGGAGAAGGGATTGGAGAAGTCGTCAGCACAGGCATTAATTACCTCCTCTGACGTATTTATAGACAAAAGTGGAACTTCATCATTCAAAGCCCTCTCCTCACTTTGGCCCTCCGATGATGGGTACACAAAGTTCTCCTGGAAGCTCTCCATTTTTTGCGTAGGGGGCTGATGCAGGGACAACTTCCGCTGGGGAATTTCCCGTGGTGAAAAAACCATACCTCGACCGGTATAGCTGTGTGCGCATTGCATTTCTTCTGCAGGTCGATGAAAGCCGTTGGTCATCTGCTTGGCAGGAGTCGGATCCAAGTTTGTGGAATGGAGTTGCTGACTAATATCATCATCGTCATCCTCCATGAAAGCCTTCATGAAAAATCCTCCTTCATTACTCTCGGAGCAGGAAGTAGGATTAGCGGAGTACACCGCTTCAGTGGAATAGGATCCATTCATACTGCCACTATAAGTAGGACTTATATTTCGCCGGTTAAGATCGTAGAAGCGACCGCAAACCGTTGATTGGACATCAAAGAAGTTGTTCTGGTGAGCTTCCTGTGGTGGGTGCTGAGGTTGTTGCTGTTGCTGTTGTTGATGCGGCGCAGACTGCTGGTTAGATGTGATGTGGTGATGGTGATGGCGCTGATGCTGATGCGAATGAGGAACCGAAGAAATTGGGAAGATGTTGTCGGCATTCTCCTCAACCACTAGTGACGTGATGTCGGGTCGAGGATTGTAAGGTAACGATGTGCAGCAGTTATGTGTCTGCGGTGTCGACTGCGCAACTGTCGACGTCTGTGGTGGAGGTGGAGGTGGTGGAGGTGGTGGTGGTGGTACAGGAGGCAAATCCAAGTGCGGGTGGCCGTAGAAGTCGTTGTTAGACATAATCCAACCTTCCTTGTAGTACGTCTGTGGTGCTTGTCCGGTGCTGAGGGAACGACCTCCCAGTCCGAGACGATTTGTATTTGGACGCACGCAGGATCCTAGCGGTGGTAGATCGGCGAAATTGTACTGTGTGGGGGGATGTCCAGGGGCTCGCTCTGACATGATCGCTTCACATGACGAAGGAACAGGAATGGTTTGGGAGCAGTAGTAATTGAAATCTTGTGGTGACATCTAATAAAAGCAAAGTATTGTTAAAGTTATGGGTGGTCATCTTCTGCCAACATTTAGCTGATCCTTAAATGGAGCAACGAAATAGCTAAGAAGATAGAGACTGTATTTCAGTCAAATTAAATTTTAAAACAGTACGTGAATAAATAATTTACAAATTAATTATTGGGATAGAACATAAGTTCGTGTTCTTGAAATACAGCCCTTCTGTGAAATGATATGAACCTACACTCCGCCAAGTGAAGTATCAAGAAGCATCAACATACTCTACCACCCAAACATCGGCAGAACCACCGGAGACCGACTATTCATGCAGATTGGTAAACAATGGCCAAATGTTTACTCAACTGCAAGAATACACCAATATTTGCATCTGCAGTTTGGATAGCTGGATAATCGAGACGGATACAAAAGTGACGTTGACGTTAAAATGTGCACTTTCCGAGATCCAAAGTGGTGTGGCGACGGTCAGTGCGTCTAGACGACTTCCAAAAAACATAGCTGTGCTAGTGACAAGCGAATAGATTAATTGGCATAATGACTTCCGTTTATTTTGTACTAATTTGGACGATTTGTGACCTCAACTCGCCACTGATAAAACCAACTGAAATGAAAGATGTGACTGACCTCCTCGTGTTTTCACTGGGAAAATGCTCGATTTGACACTCATCACCTTGTAACAGGACACATTTTCCACGTGTCAAGCGAGAGAGATCTAAGAAACCACTAGCATGCACGGAAAGATGAATTTCGAGGATGCACACTCTCAAAAAAACATGGTTTGTGGTAATTACGCTGAAGTCAGTACTTAAGTAATTTTGCCATACTAGCAGTTCCCTTTTCCTCTGAGTGCTTTCCTTGTCTACTATTTGAAGAGAAACAATAGGACCATGAGTTTTAATAAATGAACTAATCACCGCCAGTCACGTGCTTGATGCGGTGACTGGGATTTGCCAAGTACACCGCAACTGGCAGTTGCACAGTATCTTCAGTACAGAATAGCACAACGTTAGAAAACAACAGCATATTTTTACATTCTGCCGTAGTATGCGAGTGGCGAAATGTAACCTACCGGAAAGCTGGTCATGCAATGGGACGCGTCAGGTGGAGCAGAGGAGGGATAGAAACTGTCCACTAGGTTCCTGTAGTAAGCCTTTTCCAGGGAGTATGTCTCCATGTTTATTGGGATATTGGTGTAGGACTCACTGACCTGATGCGCGTAGACAGAAGGAGAGGAACTGATGGCGCACTTTGGTGGGGGAACACCTGCACCGCTCGCCGGCGCAAGAACGTGGTGTGTTGAGGTCACGACCGCGCTTAAGATCTCTGGGTTAACGGTGGACTGGGTGGTAAGGTTGAGGCCCTGCCCTCCGCACCCTCCACACCCTCCACATCCCCCACACCCTCCACTACCACTACTACAAGACATCGAAGAGTCGGGCACTGTGTCACCCTGTGGAAAGTAGTCGTTCGATAAATGCTGCAGCGAAAACGGTCCGCGGCTAACTGACATGGCTACTGCTCTTGTTTCCCGAAGCAAGATTTATTGTCAGCGGTGTTGGGAGTTCTACGCCTCGAAAACCAATGGGGAGAACGATTCTCCACCTTCCTTTTCAGGGACTGTTTATATGAAACAGACCGATCCTACACTGCTAGCATATATACAGTCCGTGCCGCATTGATATGAGGTGTACCGCAGCACCTGATTGGTGCGTTCATGGGGTGCGCGCTTGTGACGTGAGCGCGGGTACCAGCTGATTAGTGTTGTTAGCACGTGTCAAATGGCACACACACATACCCATGCACAATGCGCATACACGCACGCATAGTTGCACTTCATGCACGTACTTGTGTGTTTGTGCGTGGGTGCGCGCATGCATCCGCAGTGCTCGCACGTCCTCTGCGCAGACATCGATCGATGAAGTGGAGAGCGTCGGTGTGTGTACGTGCGAGCGGGCGCCCACACACACGCAGAGGTGAGACAAATGCAAGGCCAGAGACGAGCGTGACGTCGTTCGGTGTCAGGTTGAGATAGTCGTATTGGAGCGTTTTGTTGCGCTCAATACTTCTCTCTCGCGCACTCTTCCACGCCATACGCAGCCACTGACGTTGCGCCGTGCAAATATCAAAGGTGATACGTACGCACGTAGGCAGGTTGGTGGGTTGACTTGTTGTTGGCTTACCACACCCCCGTTACTGCCTCTGCATGTACACAGGCATGTGCATGTCACACTGTCAAGGTTCCGGTGCATTGCAGTCCTGCACTAAATTGAAGCTACCTATCGCCCACTCTGACTCGATCAACTTTCCCTGTCCCAACTTGAACACCATCGCGAAGGTATACGGCCAGTTACAACTGCTCATGGCGAAATGCGTTTTTTTTTATTTTTAGTCATCGTTCGTACGAGATGCGAGCGCTAGACCTCTTCACAGGAGTTTGTGCTAGCCCCAGTGGTTGGATGTGCATGATCCTTGCGATAAGATTGCTCATGAGTAAACAACTTCATACCATATGTCGGATATAATGAAACTACATCAAATATTGCCGAGATTGCACAGCACTGTTTGGATGCTTTATTCTCTCCTATTAACGGTACTGGTTCCAAGTCATGTAGGGGAGCACAAACGTGTTAGTACACTAAGATGTCTAGCGGGTAATATGAACATCACAAACGCCTGAAATGACTACTTCACAACAATCATGGAATTCAAAATGTTGCTCCCAGACATGTTATGAGCTTAAAGAAAGATTGTGTGATTTTGCCTTCTGATGATGAAATCGTCTACTCACGAAAGAGCAAAAAGCTTGAAAACGCATCTCAAGGTGTCGGAATTTTAATCCATTTTTATGCCATGCTGTAGGTGCAGTTGGTTCAGTAATTAGTCAACCAACTGTCGAAACTCGCCTTCATTAAATGGAGCACGCTGTCGTAAGTCGAGACTTCTATAGCGTTACGCAACAGCACTTTCAAAACCTTAGCACACACACACACACGCTACTTTTGGCAATGCAATGCCTTTATTATTCACCTGTGGCTTAGTGAAGGAGACTCAAATCAAATTGGCTTCGTCTCCTATAGAAGTTGAAAAAGGCTACTTTGGCAAATACTCTTTCACGATTTAGCATGAGCTTGGGTCTAAGGAAGGAATGCTCTAAGAATTTATGCAATGAACGATTGTTTTGATCGAAGAATGTTCCCCAAATTCCTCTGAGCCATACATGAAGGGGTTTGGGTCTGTGGATGACAAGCCTATCTTCCAGTGAGTCCGCCCTTTGTTGACCGTCCTATGGAAAATGGTAGAAAGAGAGTTGCCACTTTGTTGGTCCTTTTGTGAGAATTCGGGGCATTTTATGAGTAAAAGACTTACCTTTTCTGAAGAGGAAGAACGTTTAAATTCAAAACTTCCACTTCCCTTTTATGATATCATGTGCTCCTAACAGATGTCTTGTTACAACCTTCACATGCTCTCTTAATCGCACCAGAAAGGTCAGCTGCCAGCGCCCCCTGGCTGGAATGACTTAAGAAACAGCGACTGCATTTCATCAACAAAGTGAAGTGGTACAAAATCCCAAACATTCAAAACTCATCTAAACACCGATAAATAAAAAGCAGAAGGAATAAATACAAGTGTGAATGCTTAATGTCAAAGAAGGGCAATTTTAACGGCTACCGCGCCATTAACGAAATGGCTGTCTGTAAAATGAGACGTTTGACAGACTTGCACAATGCACCATGCGTGTTAAAGTCGACTTGTGTGATGGTGATTAGGTTTTTGATCTGCCAAAATCGCTTACTTTACATCAAATGTTAATTGAACAATTTCTGCATCATGTCTTTGTCAGTTGTAACTATTGCAGTAGGTTTGGTGAGAATGTTGGGTGGTAGATTGGCGGTTTCATGAGCCAAAGGCGTTAGTGTCATTTTAACATTTACTGAGATGGCAAAAGTCATTATTGTTGTATTGAGTGACTTTTGTGTTAAAAAGGAAGCATATGACATCGAACAACACATAAACGTTTGTTTTCTTTCGAGAGACTCAACGATTCCTTGTTCTACACGCCTCTAGTAGATGCACACGTGGCCAAAAGTTCAGTCTAATCAACGGTTGTAAAGTTCTGTCACAATTCATCTATTCCTTTCATTTAACATCACAGAAACTTCCCAAGGAGAATGAAAAGTGCAGTAAAGGCAGGCAAAGTGATGGAAAATGAAGAAAACTTACAAGACCCTTCACATTGAGGTGGTTTTTAACACTTAAACAAGCATTTCACTGATGGCAACTTGCCAACATAAAAACCTCTTGAAACACGCGCTGTAAATAGTCAACTCGTGGACGAGGAAACAGGAGTCATGCAGTGTCATGTCAGGTGAAACTACGGATTGTGAGATTGATACTTAGCAAACGCCTTCCCATACACGATGTACCGCCTTCTTCCAATTCCAAAGGAAGAGGTGTCAAACGTTACGGCAGAACGCAGAGCATGCAAACTAAAATAGAGGTGAGCGTCTGTTTTGACTGAATCGGATCCTGTTAGCACTGCAATTCATCTTGCAGTAAATGGATAAACAAAGTCTCTGTGAAATTCTTGGCTTAAAGTATACGGAAACGTGGTAATTATGCTAGTGATTGATGAAGTACCTTTTGGTTAGTGGATTACGGATGCATAATTGTAAATTATCACACTCATTACACATAATGCATACTTGCCACGTTTCAAGTCAAAATTTTAAACACCCATAAAACTTGTATTCGTGACTTCTGTGTCAACCATCACTTTAGTGCGGTTGCACCCTCAGCACGACCTGTTTATCATTCTTTTGGCTTCAGCAACGAATATGAAATGAGGCAGGGTGCATCATCTGACTCCTCTCAGAGTCTGCGCAAACTAACGACACTGCAATGAAGACAAGCGCTCTCCATCCCTTCCTCTGCATGCGCTTTGAGGTAACCTGCCACACCTCCGATAGGTCTCCTCCCTCACAATGCAAGGGCAGAACAAGAGCAACGCAGCTGTTCGAAGGTCAAAGAGAGTTTATCCAAAAATTACGAATCCAGTAAAATGCCATAGCAATCCAACAATCAAGAAGTGAATGTCAGTTAGGCAGAGTTGTTTAGTGAAACACTTGATCATTTAGATGCATAAAAGTCGTCATCTCATAACGACAGTGGAAAAGTATACCTTCGACATTGCGCCTCATTTGGACTCCCGCGTTGATGGCCTCCCTCAATCTCGACATAGAAAGTCCTCAGTAGCAGATGTTATGAATGACTTGCTCGAATGTCACTTTATTCTTTAAGGAAGAGAATCTTATGTGGGCTAATGGCTGTACAAAATGCATATTGCCACCCTGTTTTACCGTACAAATAGGCGTTTGGAGTTTATACATCCATCGAAAATGTTTAATCACCTACAAGCACTTCTTGCTACTGCTTCAGTCGCCTGCCTTCGGGAATGCATTCACACCACTCAGCATGACGACATGGGTTCAACGCACATCCAGTTGTTGGACGGTCTGAAGATGACTCCTTTGTGCATGTGTTTGAAGAGCAAGCGAAGGGAGGCATTTCTCTCAATCTTCGACAAACACCACGTGTCTCATAGCACACTGACAAACAAGCGCTGTGGTTACGCCTACCCACCTCCTCACTTGACGCGGTCGATCAACTGGAAACCACCATCACCACCACCAATCTCATTGCCAACCTTGTAAGGCAAAGGACGCAAGTCTTGCCAGTCGTCTGCATCGACGATCTCTGCCCGTGCCATTCGAGTTGTCAGTGACCAACTCCCTTCCCATGCAGACAGTGTGTCCCATTCTGGACTCGCAGCTCCCTCACCACAACTTGGCGAGTCAGTGCAGTGCTACAATCCCATGCTAATGCGAACCATCGGCCAGTCGGGAGCAGTCCATACGCTCGCTACCAGCGTTACACATATGCATTGCATACAGACCAGTTGAGTTCGCTACAACAACACAACTGACGTGTAGTATGCAATTCTCCCCCCACGACTCCACTCACCAACCCCACCTTGTGTTGATGACGCTGAAGTCACGCGCACTGTGATCCGGAGGTGTGAACGCATCAAACCCACCCAAACTCACTTCAACCACCATTGTGCCCTCACTTGCGGACAAGATGAATTGAGCCTTCGAAACCGGTGCCAACGAGATCACTTGGCCACTTAGTGCAATAAAGAGGGTTGGTGGTCGTAGCAGTCAGCAGCTTGAGCACTTCCGCTGTGGGTTGCCGAGGTGGAGGAAGAAGAGGAAGGTTGCTGTTAGCAGTAAACATAAAATAATGTGACAACATTGGTGCCTTATTGTACCTCCTGTCAAGGCACAAATTCAAGGTCTCCAAATCCCGACAGCGGAGTAGTTGACCTACAAACCGGTTTCCGGTGCGAGGAGCCAGGTGGAAACAAATGGTGCGCGCGCCAACTAATCAGAGAGGAGAAGCGGATAGTTTACCAAGTGTAGTCGAGGCAGTGTCCGCTCGTAGCAACAGGTCGGGCCATATATCTCAGATGTAGCAAACTCTGAACTGGTAATGAGTTCCTGTGCGGCTAAGGTAAACAACGATTTAAAACCCTTCTAATTAATTCACGCGAAACAGTGTGAAATGATGTGGTGGGCTGAAGAAAAGGCAAGTGGATTGCCTGCAACTATTCATTTGCTCGGAAACTTGACAGGAAACAGCGTACAAACCCTATCCTGATAAGCGAACACATCCAAAGTACTGATTTTTGTGGCTGATCTCATTGATGAATGGACGCCAAGGGTTAGCATTTACTTCCACCAATTTGGATCCCTCTTTTCCACCTTGTATTAGAGGCTTCATTAGAGAAGTTTTATTTGGAGGAACCCAAGTGTGTGTTCTCACGCCACTTTCATGAACGATTAGGCTCTCATAGATGAGTCGATTGGTCGGTTAGACTTGCCTCCATTTTATTCCCCTTTGCTCCAACAAAGCATACTCAAAATGATGTTGCATGCTCTCACTCTTCTCCTTAGGAGAATTTAGAGGCATTGCGGTTGTTTTTTGGCTCGATTGTTACTCTCTTGTTCCCTTTTTCCATTTCCCATAGTTTATAGACACTAGAGAGACCGCATCCACATAGCGGAGTCACTTATCGTCATACGATTTTCCGTACCACACCTTCACAACGGCAACGTTAATCGACGGCCATTTGACACTATTTCATCAAAAGTGCTGAAATGTCGACAAGATGAAAGTGAGGACAACCGAAATATTGTAAATACCTTCGCCTACAGTCAAGATTACTAAGTTACTCAAACCTCTTCTATAACTTGAGTGAATGTTGGGCATGCCTTTCTGACTTTTCAAGTACCACAACACATGCGGCTGTATGTGACCAACACCGTGTACGGTCATGTGGAAATTGCTGACAGGTATGTCTCTAACTCAGGCAACCTAAGGTGCACTCAGACCCCCAATCTACATTGCCATTTGCAACAGAAAATTACAACCTATAAAAGAAAACCTCTTAACGACGTCCAGAAGGAGGCACGAGGAAAGCTACTGCTCATACTCAATGCTGGAGAACAGAATTGATAAGTACTTTCAAGCATTTTATGATAGTCGTAATGATCTCGTTTTGCGTCAGTGAATCAACTTTCAAAACGCGATAACAGAAACCATAATTTAGCGCCGATGGGCATTCTGACTAGTAACTTTTGGTAGGAGCCGAAGAAACCTCTTCAACATCTAGCCGAGGGAAACACTGGGGCTGAAGCTAACACTCGAGTCCGCCATCGACATTTGAGGAGATATATCCGCCGATTATGCAAAAACAAGTCTGCAGTCTCTTTTGCAACTTCGTTTTAGTCTTTTTTCCCGTTTTCACACACAAAAGGGCAGCTAGCTACACATGTAGATAAAACCTTCACCGCCCACGCTAATGACAGATCACCTTATCCCTCCAGCGCATTTCCAAGTTTGATAATTTTGAGTTCGTGCACCATGAAAGCATGCGTTCCTCCTGATGCTGATAAGGGAGTACCAATTTTTGTCAGCCCTTTTCCTTCTACAAGCGTGCTTCCATATTTGATGCCCCCATTACAGCACATTTGCGTCGTGGCTGACCGTTCATCCAAATCACAACTCAGATGATTCTTCCACTTTCATATAAACTGTTCTGCCCTATGGTGATGCCGTATGCTGAAACCACTCCAACCAAATGGTTCCAATATCGAGCTCCAAACATCTTGACACATTCTCCATCGATGCTTGAGTCTGTATTTCAAAAATGTGTGACAATTGGCGTCTGACGCTTTGTGGTAACTGATTTTGCTACAGCGTACTGCAAGCAGACTTGTTAGGGCTACCGCAAGGGTAGAAGTGAGATGGCATTCCGTTGAAGGGAACCATGTTTTCACTAGTTTGCAGGTGACATTTCAATTCGTTAGAGGGATGTTGGGAAATCGATGTTGCTCTAAGGGAATAGGACGTCTGAATGATCGTGGCAATCCTTCTCCCACATCCTGATAGCGAGCACATTGCTTCCTTAATTAGCACGCCTTACTTTTGTTAGCACAACCTACTTTGTGAGGTCTACTTCAGGCAAGGCCACTTCAGTTCCATAGATTTTTGGGCTTTGCCTCAAACTTCCTCCGCTTTCACCACATCCACTCCATCCACCCACACTTCGAACAAGGAGGACTAAAACACGAGGTAGACTTCCTCCACGCATCTCCTTCAGGGAAAAATTCTGCATCGCAACTTCGCCATATCTGCGTACTACCACCACGCGCACGAAACCAGTCGCAGTACATCTATAAACAAATCACCTCCGCAACGCCGTTTATGCACGAATTTGCACTTCAAACGATTTATGTCCACTCATTCCATTACAGTGGCTGGAACCTTCGAGACCACTCACAACCATTCCAAACACTACCACACTGCTCGCATTGCTTCCGCCGCCTCATGCACACTTCGTTTGTGCAGACCCACACCTCCAAAGATCGT